TCCTGCTGGCTGTTTTGAGCAGGTCCACTTATGTGCATTACAAGCCTGGGACCGCCTAACTCCCTTGCCCACCGGGCCTAGAGAGACTTCTTCATTAACCTTTTTAAAACAAAACCCAACCGAAGCTCTCCCAGACTTTATACTAAGAGTACAGGCCAGTTTAGATAGAAAAATAACAGACCCTATAGCCAAAGCAATGCTTTTAAACAACCTTGTTTGGGAAGGGATGACCCCTGAGCACAGACAAGCATGCCAGGGACTAAAAAATGAACATTACGACAAATGGATTGTGGCCACCCATGACATCGGGACTGCCGCATACCAGGCCTCCTCCCTTGCTCAGGCCTTTGGAGCTGCAACCTGACCCAACTCAAAATGTTTTAAATGTGGAGAAACTGGACACTGGAAAGAAAATTGCCCAAAAAATGCTTCAGCCAGCCCCAGAGACAGAGACGACATCCAAGGCCACCCCGGATCACGTGGAGAGAGATCCATGACCTAGTGGAGACTGCATGCCACAGATGTCCCCCTGGAGCTTCCTTCTCTGACATTCTCGTCGCTGTCTTTACTCTGCTTAGCACCAACTCTTCAGACAGCCCCCAGTCTCCCTAATACCATGTTCTAGAGATTTTATTTTTCAGGAAAAAATCAGATCCATGGGACAATCGCTGGAGTATTGGAGTAATAACAAAATTCTACCCAGATGCATTCTCTAGGTACCCTACAGCTGACTTTCATATCTCTCAACAGCTTGCACCTGCAGCCAAGTCTGTACTAATTCATAATATTATTCTACAGGAAGGACAGAGGACCAGATAAAATCAACTATGTCCTGGAACAAGTACATTCAGTATGCTGCTAACTTTCTTCCCTTCACCACCTACCACAATGTTTAACTGCCCTTTTTTTGTGCATCCAGCAATAGACTTCTACTGACAGCAGTACCAGTTAGTAGATATCCTCTACTGATTCAAACTGGCTAACTATTCAATTTGCATTTTCGGCGAGTAAGCCTACTCATTACAAATACCTCACTAACTACTCTCTCCAGTACAGCATGCATCGCGCCTCCTCTTTTCATATGGTGCAAAGGAGAAGCCCAAAACTGTGTTAATTTCTTTGTCCACCTTTTGTGTACCAATAATGATTACATCCCAGGTGTAAGAAGTGCTTTCCTCCTACACAGCTGCCAGCAGAGAAAAATCTTCATCCCTTTGCTGGTAGAGATTGAACTTGCACTCTCCCTGGGTCCTGGAGGCGTTGCTACGGCGACAATTGTGCAAGCCCAGCACATGGCGGGAAATTTCCAAGACAAGCTAGATCAAGCAATGGCATCCACGACTGACAGCCTGGAATCTCTCCAACAACAAATGAACTCTCTCGCCAGGGTTGTGCTCCACAACAAAAGAACACTGGACTTGATAACTGCTGAACATGGGATGGGTGTGTGATATTGTGAAAAGAATGCTGTTTCTTTGTAAATGAATCAAATGTTGTTGAAACCGATGTTAACACTCTCAAAAAACTTTGTAATGATCTATGTTCAAGATTTCAACCCACCAAACAATTAGGTTGCTTTAGTAATCCCTTGTTTTCATGGCTCCTATCCCTTATTGGGCCCCTGGTCATACCGTGTATTATTTTGATACTTGCTCACTGTTTTATAAGATTTCTTTGCTGACAATTACTGCCATTTGCTAAAATCACTACAAAACAGGTCATGGTCAATTATCAGACTTTGAATTCTCCCGAGACAGATGAGTTGGCCCTTAGGGCTGGTGATGGCACTTCTCCATTTTTAAATCAAACAGGGGAAGATGTTGGGGACCCCTGCTGTTCTAGGTCATAGTCTCTCCATGTCCGGATAGCCGCAAGGTGGCTCGGCGTTCTTATGCAGAGACTCCCTTTCTCAGCAGGGCGCCTTCCTACTCTCTTCCTGACTCACCTTTGAAGTGCCCGTCACAGATACATGTCCTCTGGCACAGAAACTGCCAGGTTTTTCCTGTGTGATAATCAGGCACTGTCTGACAGCCTGATAGAAGCCCACCACCACATGTAAATGGGGAATCCTACAAAGCACCTATCATCTAAGGCTTTTGCTACTGCCTCCACACTATAAATATCCTGGTTTCCCCCTAATAAATCGGAGCTGAATCACTAAGATCTGGAGCGGAGCTGAATCACTGAATAAAGGAGCTGTACCACGGAGCTGTAAGCTGTATCACTGAGTCTGACTGAGCTGTATCCTGTGTCTTACTGCCTATGATTCAGTCTCCCCAGAGGGGGCTGTCCCTTCCTTAACAACCACTCGGGAAGATCTTGCTTTCGCCGTTCTTGCACCTCCCCTCGTGATCCGGTGGCTGACAGATCGCGTCCATAGAGGGAGTGCCGGCAGCCTGGAACGGAACCCGCCCATGCAGCTGACAGCGGCCGGCAGAGCCGCCAACTCCCGGTAGCCGCGGAGAGCCAGGGACCTGCACAGCAGGGACCCGAACAGCAACGCGGTGCGTGCAACCTGCTGAACCCCAGCGGCGCGCGAGAGACCAGCGCCATGCCAGCAGCTGGCGCTCTGAGATCCCCGCGCGCCCACAGCGAGTTCCAGGCCACCTAGAGCTATAGGGAGATCCTGTCTCAAAAAGACCAAAAAATAAAATAAAATAAAAACTACTATGGGCCAGGTGTGGTAGCGCACAGCTGTAATCCCAGCATCTGGGAGGCAGAGGCAGGAGGCGAAAGAATTAAAGGTCATCTTCCACTATATTACCAGTTTCATGCCTGCCTAAGCTACATGAGACCCTGTGTCCGGGGTCAGGGGGGAGATAGAGAACTAGAGAGAGAGAGAGAGAGAGAGAGAGAGAGAGAGAGAGAGAGAGAGAAAGAGAGAAAGAAAGAAAATAAATGTAACATAAGATTTGAAAAGTCTTCAAAGGAAGTTGTGAAGGCTTGGTGTAGTGGCACACACCTAGAATCTCAGCACTGTGAAGGCTGAGGCAGGAGGATTGCAAGTTCAAGTCCAGCCTGGACCACGTAAAGAGACCCTGACTCAAAAACAAAACAGGAGGTCTATGAGATGGCTCAGTGGATAAAGGTGCCTGCTGCACAAGTCTGGTAACCTGAGATGCGCGCACACACACACACACACACACACACACACACACACACAATTATAGTAAATAAAATTTAAAAAAAAAAAAACAAAAAAAACAAAGAAAAACATTGTGCCCCAAAGTTGAATTTAGTTTTGCTTTTACTACACCTCTGAGTCCCTTGGCACTGTGCATCTTCTGTAACTTGCAGAAGGGACTATAATGGCCTAGGCCCACCCCCACCTCTCTGTTGTGCTGTGCACAAGGCACTAAGGGAATTAGTACTCCAACCCCCAAAGGGTCCCCCAACAATCCCTACATACCCTTCTGACCTGTTCTCACCAGATGCTCCAAGCTGTCTGGATGCTCGTTTGGTGTCACACGGTAAGAAGTGAAAGTTGTTTGTTGCCATATCTGAGGGAGACCTGTGGGTTAAAAGGCAGAGGTTTTAGTTCCTAGTACTGTGAGAAAAGGCTACACAAACATAAGCCCTTCACTCATTTTGTATCTTACCTCTATTTCTTCTCAGTTTTGAAAACCAAGTAATGCAATCCTTTAAGCATTCTTGAAATAGAGCCTCTAGGAAACAAACTTGCTTCTCTTTATATTCTAATATACAAAACAGGAATGAGAACACCTTCAGCCTTCCCTTCTATCCAGACAACACTGTATCTTTCCTTCTTTTTGTGGTTTGTTTGTTTATTCTTGAGACAGGGTCTGGCTATGTAATCCTGGCTGGCCTACAACTTGCTGCATAGACCAGAATCCTCTCAAACTGGCAACTATACTTGACTCTGCCCCAAATGCTGGGATTCTAAGAACGCAGCACCATGTTGGACCTGTATCACTCAATCACTCATTAATTCTTACAGATGTGTATTCCAGGGATCTTTGTTGTTGTTGTTTTATTTTCACTTTGTTTTTGTTTGTTTTGAGACAGTTTTTCTCCACATCCCAGGCTGGCCTCCAATTCACAACAAACCTCTTGTTCCAGCCTCCCTAGTGCTGTGATTACAAATATGAGCCACCATGTCTGACTCAGTCTTTTTTTTTTCCTGGAAATGAATCTATATATATTTTATTAAAACTTATTTAAAATGTGTTATATTCATATCTATTGAAATTGACATATTATGTGTTTTCCCTGAAATAATTTCTTTTTAATTTAAAATAACCTATATGTTTATTTATATCATTTATTTATTGGTGGGGAAACTGGCACGCTTGTGCTATGATGCATGTGTGGTGGTGTCTCCCAACTGGCTGGTTCCTCCAATGGGCGGGGCCTGACATGGAGCGGGTCTACGAAGGGACTGCTGGGAGCCATCTTGGGACTGAAGCAGCAAGCTGGGAGGACGGTGCATGTTGGTGGGTGTGGAGAGAGAGATGGCTCCAGTACCTCACCCGCTTGGACATGGGAGGGGGCATTTACCCACCGGGGACGAGACTGTGGGGGCCCAAGATGCATGGGTGAAAGTTAACAGATTATGGGTGGGGCCTCGGGAGCATCTGCTGGTAGGCTCTGAGCTACGGTTCAAGAGTGCTTGTCTCTGTGTAAGTTCCCCAATTTACCCCCTCCCTACTCATGGGCATAAACCATAATAAACTCACATAAAATATATTATATGGTTTGTCTGATCGCGCAGGAGACCCAGAGGGAATGCGGGCTACAGGCGGTCAGAGGACAATCTTCAGGAATTGGTTCTCTGCAGTCACCGTGTGGGTTCTGGAGGTCAAAGGCAGGTCATCTGGCTTTGCAGAAGGCACCTCTTCCCACTGAGTCCTCTTTCTGGGCCTCTGAATTATTTCTTCTTAAGAAACAGAATGTGGGGCTGGAGAGATGGCTCATCATTTATGAGCACTGGCTACTCTTCCAGAGGACATGGATTGGGTTCCCAGCACCCATATGGTGGCTAACAGTTGTTCATAATGCCAATTCCAGGGGATCTCTTCTGGCCTCCAAAGGCATTGCATGACATGGGTGCACTTACATTCAGGCAATACACTTATACACATAAAATAATAAAAAATAATAAATAAAGTATTTTTGAAAAGAAACAGAATTTTGCTTTAACAGTATCTGCCCAGCACTCTGCTGAAGGAAAATACCACTGCTAGGCTTGTGGATTGCTCCCAGACTTTTTCTATTACAAACTACTGTAGTAAGTCCAATTACTCACTTGTCTGTGTTTTGAGGATAAATTCCTGAGGGCAAGACCATGTACATTACGAGGAATTTTGTCATCAACAAACTCTCTTAATTTCTTGTCATACACTACAGAGAGCTGAAGTAACAGAAAAGGTGACAACAAATCTAAGTTTACAGAATTTGGGGCCATTGTTCTGAGCCAGAATTTCCTACAATTTGTTGATTCATCTACAAATGTGAGTATATATTGAGAAGCTAAAAAGTAGACAGTCAGATGGTGAAGACCCTGTTTAGTACAGAGTCTTTTTCTTCCACTGTCTCCTGCTCTGTCTCTCCCTGCCTGTAAAGGCTCTTCCATGCTGGAGTTCTGGAAGATGGGGCTCTAAGGCAATAACTCCTCATCTTAGGCTTTTTTGTTAAGGTTTTGCTTTATAGTCAGGCTGGCCTTGAACACAATCCTTCTGCCTCAACCTCCTGAGTGCCAGGATTACAGGTATATGCTGCTAAGCCTGGTCCTAAATACTAGCTTGTCAATAAAACTGAGTTTCTTCCCATCCGGCCTCTTCTTTCCCTAGTACTGGCTTTCAAAGGCCTAGCAACCAGAAATGGGTCTGGTAACAAAAGTCTCAACTAGATCCTTCTTACCCTTTATACTTTTACACATACTAATGCTATACTTTAAATTTTCCATGATTATCATAACAAGCAGACCATGACACAAAGTAGTCTTTTATTCAACAGCACTTTTCCATGTTTAGTTATTTTTATTAGGTTAGTGTGCCTGTTCCATAACTTCTTTCACTTGCAAACATCAATGGTGAGGTATCTGCCTCTGTCTATCTCTCCTTCCCTGTGGGCTCCTCCATGGATCTGGTCATAATACGATACCACTGTAGGAGCACATCCTCTCCTTTTCTGGCCAAGGTCAAAGTTTCATTCTTACACCACCAAGCGTGCTTTCTTTCCACAGCTGCTAACCTCTCTCCTCCAGCTACGGAAGGGGAGTGGCCACCATGGCCTCCTTGGTTCTGTGCCTGACTCACAAGGTGTGGCTTTACAAGCTCTCTGCCACCCAGAGTCTTGGTGCATGTGCACAAATACTTGCTTGTTTGGCGAAAGCAACCTGCAGCGCTCACAGCTCTCAGGGGAGGGACCTCCCAGAGAATCAGGGAAGCTATGAACAGCTGTAGTGCTGACAGTGCAGAATCCTGTGCTCCTCAGACCTGGGTGGTCTCCCCTACATCCTTTTTACTCCAATGTTCTCCAACCAAGGCTTTTGCCATGGTGGCCCCTCCCCTTCCACAGCCACTCAGAACTTACCTAACTCACTGAATTTAAACTGCTGTCTGTATTTCATCAAGAGCCTATTTTCTCATTTTTTTGTCAAGAAATGTTTTAGATGTACAGAGAAAGTAACCCAGCATGCATATACAGTATATCTGGAATCCAATTCTTGTACAGTATGAGCTAAATTTTAACCTCCCCTCAATTCCTCCCTATACATAGACAGCTAATAACTCATCCTTCCGCTTCTTGTTATCTTGAAATAAGACAAATGGAAAGCTACAAGTCCTCTGCGTTCACCACAGAGCACTGATGGCGCACATGGAATAGCCCATTCTCTCAAAGTTTGCCTGTCTGAATGACCACTTACTCTTAGGACTTGTATTCTATAGAACTTGACATTAACTTATAGATGTTTTATTTAGATAGATACACAAATGATTTGCTTGAAAATGTTATGGGTTTTTTTTTTTTTGGCCTGGTAGGGGATAAATAAATGAGTTTTGTGGATAACAAATCTGATCCCAACATTTTGTCTTCAGTTCCCCAAATGCTTTTGGAAGCTTTTATCATTGTGATTATTTCCTCACTGATGAATGAATATGTATCATGTGTTAATGATGTAATTATTATTCACTGACAATAGTCCACTATAGTGCAATCTTTTATTAATATTTTATTATTTTTATTTTATGTGTATGAGTGTATTGCTTGTATGTATGTGAGTACACACGTGTCGTGCAATGCTGCGAAGGTCAGAAGAGGGCTTCAGATTCCCGTGGAACTGGAGTTAAGGACAGTTTGTAGCTACCATGTGGGTGCTGGGAATCGAACCCAGGTCCTCTGCAAGAGCAATCAGTGCTCTTAACTGCTGAGCCATCTCTCCAGCCCCCTATAGTGCAATCTTTAACACAGAGCAAGTTTCTGTCTGTGTGTGGTCTGATTCTGGGCATGCTTTTATTCCACACTGTTTGCCTCCTGCACTTCCGATACATATTACCACAGCTTACTGACAGCTACAGCCAAGAGGAGCAGGTCCTCAACGTAATACAGTATCTGGGCTCTGCTCTGCTACCGTATGTTCACTTGCACTTAGGAAATTTTGACAGCAGCGATTGTGTTACATGCAAAGTTTTGCTGGATATTTTTTTAATTGGGATTTCATTATATGATTACAGAAATCTGCAAAAAGTGCTGTATTATAATATTACACTTTTACAGCTATATACATTTCTTTCTTCAAAGTTCACTGTGATTAAAGGCTTGGTCCCAATAGTGGCGGAGGTAGGGTTAGTGGGATTGTCAGGACGTAGGACCTAGCGGGAGATCCTATTGCAACTGCTTGGGTTCTCTGAGGAGTGAAGTGAAAAGGCAATAAGCCTAGTGTGCCCATCCTCTTCTTGCCACCTGTTCAAGATGTGACTCCATGGTCCCAACATACGCTACCTCCATGATATGCCACCAATGGGACTACCCGAGCAAGGACTCTGAACTTCCAAAACTTCGGGCTAAGTGATCATTTTCTCTATAAGTTAGCTACCTCAGGTATATTGTTGAAGAATGCAAAAATGGTGAATACACAGATTCATTTAAGTCCTCTCTTACTTCCTTCAATAAAGGTGTTCGGTATAAGTACACTGGCATTGTTGTTTCTTATGTAGCCTGTAGCTATGCATATGGACTCTTAAGAAATTATATTGACCCCTTTAATCTTTGGTTATACTTTCCTATTGGGTGTTTAAGGCCATACAGTTGGATCAGATAAACCAATTTATTTTTACTCTTAAGGTCATTTGAGGATCTGTTCCTCAGGGGTCACATGGGCTTGGGAGGAGCCCCTGACTCCTTTCTTTTGCCAGTTCTGCCTATGTGAAGATAAGTCAAAGGTCAACAGGGCAGAGAGTTAACAGAGAGACATCTGAATTAAACAATACCATATATCAAATGGACTTAACAGACATCTA